CCCCCCACAAAATATCTCTCTAGCAGCCCCCTCCCAGGTCTACCCTGCCAGCCCTCACTTCGACCACCCCACTGGCCCTCCCCTCCAGCGCTTTTGGGGGAGGGGTTCTTCTCCTGTGAAAACTACACCGGTGGGGTATTCCTAAATCCGATTATATAGGAGTGTTTCTCAACCGTGGCCAACTTGAAGTCCGGTGGACTTCAACTCCTAGAATCCCCCAGCCAGCGGAGCTGGCTGGAGAATTCTGGGAGTTGAAGTCCACAAGTCTTAAAGTTGCCAAGTTTGGGAACCACTGCTCTAATGCATATAAAAACACAAAACCTTTGGTGGAGAGAAACTTCGTTGTTAATCTGGATGGCAGGATTCCAAAAAAAAATTGGGTGGGTGGGTTAGAGAAGAGGGTATCATGCCACCTGCAGCTGTGGCCTGGCACTTAAAATTAGGGTTGAGGGGTCCTTGTTTTCTTGCAGACGTCTCGTGACCCAAGGAGGTAACCTCATCAGTGCGTCTGACATCCACCCTCGACCATCAGCAGCTAAAAAAATACGAATGCAATCCTTGGTGGCATAAACAGAGGCATAGAATCAAAAGCAGGTGGAGTATTAGTAGCGCTTTATAAAGCCTTGGTGGAGTCTTTATTGCCATTGTGCAAAATAAATACAACGAAATGTTTTTTTTTTAGCTTCACTGGTGCAATCCATGAGAAGGATTAGAATGTTATTATTAATATATTATTATATCAACCATATATTATTAGAATAGATTAGAATATTGCAACCAGTTTTGCTCAACGCATTGCAAAAAAAGATATTAAGACTTTGGAAAAAGTGCAAAGAACAACAACTAAGATAATTAAGGGTCTGGAAACTAAAACATGTGAAGAATGGCTGCAGGATTTGGCTCTGGCTAGTCTAGAGAAAAGGAGGACTAGGGGGACAGGATAGCACTATCCCAGTATTTAAGGAGCTGCCCCCCAAAATAGGGGGGTTCAACTTATTTTTCAAAGCACCAGAGGGTAGGACAAGCAGCAATGGATGAAACTAATCCAGGAGATCTGGAATTAAGGAGAAACTTCCTAACAGTGAGGACAATTAACCCATGGAACAGCTTGCCACCAGAAGTTGTGGGTGCTCCAACAATGGAGATTTTTTTAAGAAGAGACTGGACAGTCACTTATCTGCAATGGTATAGATTCTCCTGCTTGAACAGGGGGCTGGATTAGAAGACCTCCAAGGCCCCTTCCAACTCTGTTATTCTGTAAGGATCTCCTGCTTGAGCAAAGGGGGCTGGACTAGATGACCTCCAAGGTCCCGTCCATCTCTGTTTGGATGGACTAGCATTGATGTAACTGAGTTGGTCATGAAACGTTTGCAAGAAAACAATCAAGTTCAATCTTGAGCTATAAAAATTGGGGTTTAAAAAGAAATAAATGCTTCTCCGCTCAGTCTCCATCCAGGTGCAATGAGGATGGAGAACCCACTTCAGGTAGCTTTCCAGATGTTCGGTGTCTCTGAGCATCCCAAGCCAGATGCTGAGGCCTCCAGAGGAAGGATCCATTGCTTTCCAGGTGTTCTTAGGAAGCATCCCCCCCCCCCCCGGGCAAGGACCATCAGAGAAGGCTGCTGCGGTGGGTTTCTTGCATTGCCATCCTGCGATGAGACTTTGGTGGCTGAGAATGACTCTCCTGCATACTNTCAACTGCATCCAACTCTCCATGGCCAACTCTTCATGCCCAATTCCCACAGCCAACTCGCCATGGCCAACTCTTCATGGCCAACTCACTGCAGCCAACTCGCCATGGCCAACTCTTCATGGCCAATTCACCACAGGTAACTCACTGTGGGACAAGAATCACATGAATATCGAAGAGGTGGTTGAACAGAATCGTTAAGGATGCCAAAGGAGGGACAAAATAAAATGCGAAGAACAAAGATCATATTTTTTTAATTATTTGAAATAACGCAATTGAGTTGTCCCCTACTGAGTTGGCTACGGCGAGTTGTCCCATTCTGACTGACCGGGAAGGCAACCTACACCAGGTGGTCATTTCCTGGAGGGGGAGGGGGGCTTTTTCCCCAGGTGGGTTTCCTAACTTTTGAGAAAGCCCGAGGAAGTCCTCGTTCTCTGACCGAGTTCTCCCCGCTGCTGCGCACCGCCGGACTCACGGGTTCCAGTGCTCCTTGGAGACGCGGTAGAGCGTGCCGAAGATGGTGGGGAGCACCGTGTGACAATTGTCCTCCACCAGGCTCAGGATGTATTCGTTGTTCCAGAAATAGAGAGCCCGTTCGGCCACCTGTTTTAGGGGACAGAGGGAAACGCCATGAGGATTTGAAAGCCCCCCCCCAAGCTGCCTTCAAGCGAGGTAGTCCTCGACTTACGACCCCACCTTTCTGTCGCCACGTGAGACATCGATTAAGTGAGTTTTGCCCCATTCCCCCTGCTAAACAAGCCGGTTGTTAAGTGAGCGCTGTCCCGTTTTACGTCCTTTTCTTGCCACTTGTTAAGTGAATCACTGCAGTAACCTGGTTGTTAAGTGAATCTGGTGTCTACCGTTGGATTCTGCTTGTCCGCAAAAGGGGAATCAAGTCACCCCGGCACACTGCGGGGGTCATAAATGTGAGTCGATCGCCAAGCGGCTGAATTTTGATCACATGACCATTGGGGTGCCGCAGCGGTCGTTAAGTGCACAAAATGGGCCCTAAGTCACTTTTTTGAGTGCTGTTGTGATTTTGAACAGTCACTAAATGAACTGTCGAGGACTGCTTGTATCCTTGACTTGTGATCATTCATTTAACAACCATTCAAAGTTACAACACTGGAAAAAGTGACTTAAACGACGTTTGCAGCATCTGCAATCACAGGTGTGTGTGTGTTTGTGTGTGTGTGTGATGGAGAAGCCGGCTTCGCTTAACAACCCTGTTGCTAACTTAACCTCTGCAGTGATTCTCTTAACAACGGTGGCAAGGAAGGTCGTAAAATGAGGCAAAACTCACTTTACAACTGTCTTGCTTAGCAACGGAAGTTCTGGACTCAGAATTTGTGGCCGTATGTCGAGGACTCCCTGTAACAGTGTAAGCCGCCAGAATTCCATATTACGGGGAGTCCTCGACTTACGACCACAATTTGATCTGAATTTTGATCACATGACCGGGGGAAGTTGCAACGGTCATAAGCGTGTGAATAATGACTTCTTTCAGTGCTGTTGTAGCTTTGAATGGTCGTTAAATGAATGGTCACAAGTAGAGGACTACCTGCAAGGCAGTCTTTTGAAGAAAAAAAAAGAATTACGACCAACGGCTTAACGATCGTTCAAAGTTACAACGGCTTTGGAAAATGTGACTTATGACCCATCCTCAAAGTTATAACCATCTCGCTTCCTACCCTTCGGTCATTTGATCACAATTCATCCACATTTGCTGGCTTCCAATCAGCCAAATCAATTTTTTTT